CCTTTTGGCCAAAGCCAAGTGACTTCAGTGGAAGATGAAATGAAAAAGTTTCAGCTGGGAGGACAGTATGGTGATTCTAAATGCTAATTAGCTTACTAATTGGACCAGAGGTTTACAATTTCTGAAAGGTATTCATTAAAAGAAGAGCGAGAGACAGGAAGTCCGATTCGCTTATGCTTGAGTTCTGTTGTCATTAGGTACATTTTTCTTGAGCTGCTGAGGAGCTCATCCCGCAATCCTAATTGGGAATACGGAAAATCGAATCGGAAACTTGACTCAAGTGACTTCCTGCCAGTCAATAGTTAACTTTTTCACTCAGCTAACAATTGAAAGCGCACAAGTCAGCTCAAGAGCTCGCCCCTACATATACCTTAATGCTCTTATACTTGTATAACTAATATATAAATATATATATGTATACATATCACCCCCCACAAACTTTTTGAATAATCAAAATCGATTCTCAATTTGGCAGCCAACTTTTTCCATTTCTTAGCCATCTTTTTTTGTAAACTTCCTCATAAACAGGACAATAACATCCTGCGACACTGAAAGACACAAACAACCGAACAGCAAAATGTTGATGCGTGCTGAAAGTCAATTTTCAATCACTTTGCTCTCCCTTTGCCTGAGCCCCCGCCCGCTGTCCCACAAACTGATTTTGGCAACGCGTCGCTTGCGAACATTCTCGTTAGTCGCAAAACCCTAAGAAGTTCGCTTCAATTGGGTCTTTAGCTGGCGTCTGACTGGCGCACAATAACTTGGAGCCCCTACTCCTCTTATTTTGTAGTTGGTGGACCCTAAAAGGGATTTAAAGTGGTGTCTTCATGTGCTCTACACTGAAATACGTGGGGTAGATTGATAGGGGGCAAATGCTTGGAACTGCAGAACTTAGTTATCTTTTATGTTAGAAAACCTGGAATACGGGATCAAACTATGTATTATAGATTTATATATAGATATTGATTTCTTTTATTATTAAATATGAAGTTTCCTAAGCAAAGCTCAAGCTTTTCTTTTTCTTGTCAATATCTTTAATTCCTTCTCTCAGCTTTTTCGGGATCTATCAAATTGCTTCGCTTAGAGTACAAGCCACTACATACAGTTCCCCTTTTGATTGCCTCTCTCTTTTCCACCCAAAGTAATCATCTTTGCTCAAGCTTAGGGTATCTTTTAGTCACGCTCATCCAATCAAATTCACTTTAACATTGTTTGCTTTGGCGCAAATGCAATTAGTTGCCATTAAGTCGGAGCCAACTAGGCTGCTGCTCCACTTGTCGCTGATTTACGAGAAGCGCAGAGAGAGGCAGTCTGGTGCGAGCCAAGCTGATTAGAAGAGGGCACAATTTATGGGCACTTGCCCGCTGCGTTGCGCTGCCCTGAGTGTCGCGTGGGCTGCAGCTTAGCGCTGAGTTGGCGCCGGCCCCGTTTAAGTGACAGCCATAAATTAGTCGAGCCAGTGGACAAAGGCAAATGTTGCAACGCTTTCTTTCTGCATACATTAAATGTTCAATGGCTGCGCTTCCTGTTGCTGCTGCTGCTGCTGTTGGCGAATCCTTTGTCCAGCCAGCTGGAAAACAAGTCCTGGACAGCTGCCAAACGGCCGGGCTGCGGCACAAAAGTTCACTAACACTTTGTGTGCAGGGCCCCTTTGCTATTGTTAGCTGTGACCCGTTAACACTATGCCAGCCCATTACCTCCAGCCCAGTTTACGGCCAAGCGACCGGCAGCCCAGGTGGACTGGGCTAGCACTCGAAGTGAGCTTACTTTGTCATGCAGTCTGGCAGGTTTATTGCCATACTTTGTATACTTTATTGACATTTTGGTCTAGAACTGCGAAGAGAGTTTAAGAGTCTCGGACTGGCTGATTTTTTGCCTTGCAAAGTAGTTCAAATGGTATGTGTTTATAAAGTTTTTGTAATGATTTCGTTAGCTACCTGCGAACTTGTAGCTTCTTATAATCATACTACAATTTGGGACCTGGAAAATGTTTGTGAATTGTATTCTTAACAGGAAAAGCTTCTAAGTGGTGTTTGATACCTATTTGTAGGAATTTAATCCATTCGCTGAAATTCGTACTTCCTTAGTCGTGAAATGGGAACGCGTTTTTACAAATATACATATGTCCAGTCTAAAGTTTCTTCCAAGACCTCATAAATAACTGTGGGCTCGTTAATGAACTCTTAACGGTATTTCTGACACTTTTTGACTAATGCGAATACTCTGCAACACGAATAAAAGTAATCAAGTGACGCGGACAACACGCATGTTTCCTTTTCTCTTTGTTTCGCTGTTGACCTTGACAGTGGACAGCAGCGAGCTAGTTGCTGACCTCCCTCCCTAGTGGACAAATCAATTTTGGTTGAGCAGCTTCTTCCTGCTCCAGTTTCACGTTATCACGCAGAACTTTCGAATGACCTTGAACTAAATACACAATATGTCAAAGGTGGACGAAACAAACAACATATAACAGCTGACATTGTCAGGGCTATAAATGCAACGACGTCAGCAGCGCGGGTGGATGATGGGTGAGGGGTGGTGGGTAGTTGGTGGTGGGTGAGACTTTGTTTGCCAGAGGGTTGGAGCTACATTTAAGCCTGATAGCTATTTATAACATTGGGTGCACCTATAAAGTGAACTTGAAGCTCAACAAAGGAACTCGGAGAGAGAGAGAGAGAGAGAGAGAATAGACAAAGTCAAAACAAAATTGCTATAATCAAAATTCATCAGGATTACCATAATTCACAATGCAAATTGAATGTAATGTAATAATGGATGAGCTTGTTAGGCAAGGGCAAAACACAATGGAAAACTTTGAATAATGGAAATTATGTCCAATGATTAAATAAATTAGAATTCTAGATAATTCGAATAAGTATAATTTATTTCAAAAGTTATGAAATTAAATAAGGAAAACAATTCGTCTATATAAGCCAATGCTCGATTTAATGAGTACCTCAAATTTCTTTATGAATAATATTTATTAAAATAAATATGTATTTTATTTTACAAAATAAATATTACAATTTATAAATAAAGAATACTATAATTAAAAATATTATTCAATCTCTTATAAAATCGTATTATTCTGTCATCACATTCATTACAGAAGCTAAACTGCTCCAGGAGCAGTGCGAACAATTTGTTTTCTTTAAGAAATTGGCGCTGTCATCTGATGCCAACAACTGTGTGCGTGTATGTGTGTATGTGCGAGGAGTGAGTATGCGCGTGCGTGTGTGTGAGTTGAGCCGCAATTACGGTAATTGCAAGCGTGTGGTGTCAGAGGACTTGAGACTAAGGCAAGTGCGTGCTTTTCGTCTTATACATAGTATAAGTAGAAGAGTGCAGCAGTTGTTGTTGTTCTTGTGCATAACGATACGTGTCTATGGATGGCAAACAGGCAAAAAGGAATGAAAAAGGAAGTGTGCGCATAAGATAAGACAGGTAATGGTAGATAAGCAACAGAGTTGGAGAGAGAGAGAGAGGGCCAAAGAAAGAGAGAGCGACACACAGGGAGAGCGTGCGTGCGTTAAGTTGCTGAAAATAACAATAAAAGCTTCGACACTTGATGTAATATCATAAATTTGATCAGCTGCAGCTCAGATGAACTACGAACAATGTGTGAACAGTCTGGCAACGCTGCCATGAGAGAGAAAGCAAGAGCGGCCATAGATAACGCGCCTGCATGTATGTGTGTGTTTGTGTGTCGAAGCGAAAGAGAGCCGAAGAGAAAAAGAGAGCCGAGAGCGAGCGCCGCAGCAACATTTGCAAAATTTTCGTTTTTGGTTTTTAATTAACATTGAAAGGAAAAACAGCGCGAAGCAGTTGAACTCAAAAGCAAATAAAAAGCAAATAAAATACCTGAATGTTTGTTGTTTTTGTAGTAATACTAGCACTTGTTGTTGGTGTTGTTGTACTTGTTTACAGTTATGCAGGTAAATTTTGTTCACTTCTCTCTGATTGACAAAAGTTTTTTGTTAAAGCTTTTGCTGTTTGGCGTTTTTGTTATATTTTTAAACAGTTTTCCACTTGGCGCACACACAGAAAACAACACAGAACACTTAGTTCTCATATACATATAAGTATATGTATATATTTATGAGAGTATGTATATAATTATGCCAGATTTATAGCTCAAATTTAGTTGCTATTTTTAGTTAGGCTTTTTAGCTTTTGCCTTTTGCCGTTTTCATTTAACAATTGACAAAACTTTCGACCTGCTCACAGCGTGTTGCAAGTGCGGCTGCAGCTCGTGCAACTCTAACTGTAAAATCTAAGCAGGAGAGAGCGACAGTGTATTAGCGACAGCGAGGGGGCGAGAGAGCGAGAGCGCGCTGTCAGCGTCCACGACGAGCGACTGCAGCGAGCGACTGACTCGAACTGTGGCCAAGGCGCCTAGCCAACTAAAACTGTCTGCCTTGGCTGGCTGGCTGCCCCATTCAGAAAAATAAGAAATAATATACACCCGCTGCCGCACCACCGCCACCGCCACCGCCACCACTGCGCCAAGCAAAGGCAACGGCAGAAGGCAGCAGGCAGCAGCGCAGCAGGGTTGAAAATGCGCATGTCAGCAAAATGCGTGAGCATAACAACATATACAGGGTGTCTTATTTAGTGCTGGAACATAATCCAAATACAGACTGATTCTTTGGGATTGAGCATAAGAAATATATTTCATTTATTTAAATTGAGTAGAGGTTACAATATATTGATTGAACATAGCGTACAATTATGTAGATCTACAGCAAAACAGGGTGTCTTTTGAGGTAAGAAAATCATTATGATACAAAATCAAAATCATTATGATACAAAAGCAGTAAAGGGTATCTATTTGAGCTTTGTTTGTATGCCACAAGCAAAACGTGTTTGAACATATTGTATAATACAGGGTGGTTTCTTCTCCTGACCACATCAAGCACCATAGTGGATCTGACTTTTCATTTTGGTTTTATTTCATAGACATAAACTTCTTATCGAAACTAATTATAACTAATATTTAATTATCCAAACAGTGCGCCACCGCCTGCACCGCCCAGCACGCCAGCACCACCAAATCCACCCACGACCTTTTTGTCGTAGCGTGCGCGAAAGCCACCGCCGCCGAAGCCACCGGCGCCAAAGCCGCCATGTCCAAGGCCACCTTTGAAGCCACCGCCGCCGAAGGCACGTCCTCTAACGCGATAGGTCTCGCGATAGCTGCCGAAACCACCGCCGAAGCCAGCTGCACCACCGCCCAGCAAGCCACCACCTAAGGCCAGCGCCTGTGGTTGTTGTTGTACTACGGCCACTTGCTGCACCACCGGCACTTGTTGCACCACCGGTACTTGTTGCACCACCGGCACCGCACTGATGCCACCCAAGCCGTAAGCCTGCAGCACCACAGCTGCACCACAAATCAGCAGCAATTGAAGAAAACAACTCATCTTGGATGTCGCGTTGATTACGTTCTGTTGCGCCGGCGCAGACGTCGCAGCGTATTTATGCGACGTTCGAGTGGTGCGTCATGCAGCACCACTGACAAAAAATCCCACCAGCTTAGCTATGTTTGCATACGCATTAACCAAGCATTGGGCGGGTTTTCACTTACGCGTCTCCATGCACGTGGCTCGCAACCAAAACTGACCTTCACTCAGTTGTGATCGATGCGGTTGATGTGTGAAGTACACTGAGAGAAATTATCATGTATGTTGAATGAGTTCTGACTGATAAATTTTTGAATCTTCTGATTGATCCACTGGGTGACTAAGAAATGACTGATCTATGGATTGATTAACTGATTGACTGCCTGTTAACTTCTTCTTCTTTTCTTCGATGAATTTTGGCGGATTTCCTAGATGTTTTTCTTTTCTTTCTTCCTATTTTCTGCTTTGATTTTTGCTCTTCTTCCTTCTTTGTTTCATCTTCAATATCTTTCTTTGTTTCTCCTCCTCCTTTTCCTTTTAGTTCTTTTTCTGCTGGATTTTCTTCTCGTTTTTCTGCTCGTTCTCTTCATTCATCTCTTTTGTATCATCTATCATTAATAATACCATCTTTATTAATAACAATCCATACACAATTTTCTCTCAGTGTACACTAAGCAGCTGCTTATGACCATATTCGAGTTAGATCTATATAGAGTTAGCTTTCAGTGCTTGGGGAATTTCGGCATCCAGGTATTTGTGAATTGCTAAAGCAAATAGGCCAGCCTCTGCGCTCTGGGATGCGAACAGACGTGGCCCACTAATTAATTTGCATAAATAACGAGGCTTGCGATGCTACTCCAATCAGTTGGGGTTTCGAAGATGCTGCGTGGAACATTTTATTCGCTGATCTTCGCACTTGCCGTTGCCCAGCTGGCGGCCACGCCCATTGTGCGTGAAGGCAATGAACTTGTGCGCAAGACCCGACACATTGGAGGCGGTTTTATAGGCGGTGGCATAGTGGCTGGAGGCGGTGCTGCTGGTGGTGTTGGTGGTGGTTATCTCGCACCACCTGTCATACAAACTGTGCCCGTGATACAAACTGTGCCGATCATTACGACCGTGCCTGTTGTGTCCACCATATCCACGGTGCCCAGCTACGGCGGCTTTGGAGGTGGTTACGGTGGAGGCTATGGCGGTGGCTATGGCGGTGGCTTCGGAGGTGGCTATGGCGGTGACTTTGGTCGAAGTCTCGGCGGTGGCAGCTTTGTTGGCGGTGGCATTGGCTTTGCCAAGTTCAAAGGAATTGGCTTTGGCGGTTTCTTGGGCTGAAGCTAAGGAGTTCAGGTGGATATATAAGGATATATATATATATAAAAAAAAAATTATATATATGTATATATAAATATAAAAACAATATTATGAATAGCTGAGCATAAATAATAATAAATGATATTTAAGATTTATCATGTTAAATGTAGATATTTCCAAATAAAGTGTGATATATACCATGTGCATTCAAACAGAATCATATACAGATCTAGATCCCTATACATAAGTCCACATCTTGGAGCTCTCATTACTCTGATGATGCTGCAGTTTCTTCGTAGCTCCGTTGTTGCTGCTGTTGTTGTTATTCCAGTTTCATTTTACGCTTTCAGCTTGGTTTTGTTTGTTTAGCTAAATAAAAATACACAAATAGCGCAACAACAACAAACAGCTTATGAGGCCATTCGGAAAAAAACATCATCGACTCTTTTATGTGCAGTCAGTCAGCCAAGTGCCTTTTGGCTGAGCGTTAAATCCGATCGGCAGCTATGCTTAAGAGAAAGAGTAAGAGAGAGAAGGAGACAGAGAGAGGGAGAGCTCAAATACAGCGGAGAAGCGGTAGAGTGCGATCATTGAATCTCAAGTACTGTGGACAAATATATCAAGTTTCCTTAAGAAATATTAATTGTGAGCGACAAATTGTTAAACAGATGAATATTTCTTACGAATTGAATAAATTTATGTTTTAGTTGTAGATTAAGTAAATTTTTATTTATCATCAGTTTTATGAATTAAAATATATAGCTGAAATTAAAGATTGAGGTATAGAAAGTGTATGTGTATTTATAATTATATATAAGTAAATATGTGAATGTAGATCAAGAGAATACTTAATTTAGAGCTGTGCATGTAATATATAAACACGATCGATTGATTAGTAGATGACTATTGATCTAGCAAACAATTCATATGCACTTAATTGAATTTTTTTTTTTTATATTTATTATTTTAAGCGCTGAATCTGTACAATGCAAGTATAGTACCTTAACAACACAGTTAGATTATATTATATAGAACCTAACCTAAAAATTCAAATTCAAATGCTTAAAAAATCCCAAATTACAGAAACATACATTCAGAGTATATTAGATACAAAAATATCACAAACGCTCCTTAAATTTTATTTCTATATAAAATCAAATATTCATTATATCATTATACTTTACTCAAAACATTTTCAGTTCATGAAATGCCACGCATAAACCACACAAAAATGATTAAATAAATGATATAATTATTACAAATTGATAATCAGCCACACATAAATCACATTCTTCACAGTTGGCCATGCTAAGGTCGTTTACTGTAGCGCATATCTGGACCCCATATATCAAAGTAATACATCTATAAAGCTTCCGCATCTGTCAGCGAGATCTGAAGATTGGCTTCATTTCGAATTCAATTGGAAGTAAACAACTTAAAAGCCAAACACAACCCTCATCTAGTGGCTTTTAAGTGTAATTACTCTTGCCTTTTTGGTGGTGCGGCAAAAAAAAAAAAAACCCAAAGAATAAAAAACCTTTCAATGACAGTCAAGAAATGTTATTGAACCTCTCCATTAAGTTAATTCTTCTAATATTTGACTATAAATTCAAGCTCGACTCGATGCTCACTTTTAGTAGCTAACAAAATTCGAAATGGAATACCTGAAGATTGTCCCGCTCTTGTTGCTGGGCATTTGCGTGGTGCTGTGTGGTGCAGTGGAGCAGCAAGAAGTGCTGTCTGTGGTTCAGGAAAAGGAGCCGCAGGAGCCACAGGTGGTGTCGGAGTCACAGACGGAGCCGGAGTCAGAGGTGGTGCAGGAAACACTGGTGGTGCAGGAACCACAAATGGAGCTGCTAACATCTGGCGATAGTTCTCAAACGGATGTGGTTGCAAATGCCACAGCGGATGCTGATGACACTGAGGGCGGTGCTCGCAAAGTACGCCAATACTTTGGCCCACCACCGCCGCTCTTCTACGGTGGACTACCGCCACCCTACTATGGAGGAGGTGGATTTGGTGGCTTTGGCGGTGGCTATGGTGGCTTCGGCGGCGGCTACGGCTTTCAGCGCACTCGTGTGGTTACGCGCACGCGCTATCGCGGTCGCTACGGTGGCTTCGGTGGTGGCTTCGGAGGCGTCGGCTTCTACGGCTAAAGTTTACTATTTTATTTGGATTTTAATATGTCGATAGATATATATTTGATATTTGTGATATTCCATTGTGTGCGGCACAGCGATTGGCGTTGCCTCAATAAATATGTGTGATTTATAAATATTTGCTTTTCGGCAAATGTTGTGCGCTTTGATACCCTGTATATTATTAATAGTAGGCATAGGGAGTTTTCTGTTGGCTTTCGAATGACGTCAACTAAGAGAGAGGCTGGAAGCTGATTTTAGCAAAGAAAGATATTTAATATATAAGAATTGTGTAGGTAAGGCGTCATAATATATATATATAGGTCTATAATATAGTTCTATAATTATGTATAAGTCTTAATTTTTTCAATCTTCTGCGCAAAGAAATGAAATAAAGAAATGAATTTCATTTGGCTTTACTAAAATCGATCAATATGTAATACCTATCGATATACGTCGATTATAATCTTAAAAATCGGTTTAGCTTGCTTTGGGAAAGAAACTTTTTGGGTTATCAATAATCAATTGGACTCTGCCCAGGGTATCTGCCAGTCAGTCCGTCTCGCTCTCTGTACAACCACTCACTCGTTATGTTTGGCCTGCCAGTTATGATTGTTCGCGATTTTATGATGAGAAAGTGGCCAAGAGCCCTTTGGACTGAGGCGCGCCTATATAAATTTGCCAACGACTTGGGCTCAGTTTTGATTTGAGCTTAAAATGTTGCGATTGATTGGCCTAATGCTGTGGCTGTGGCTGCTGCTAGTCGGCGTCTGCTGCTTAGATGAGCTGGAGTACGATGCACAGGTGGCACCACCAACCACGGAGGGTAGGCATCAGAAGAAACCTCTCTCAATTCTCAACCTTCCCTGACTCTCATTCTCAATCCTCTTTCTTAGCCCCTCAATCACCGCTGAATCTGTGGCGCGGCTTTGTGGGTCAGCTGCATCAAGTCATTCGCAGTTGGCGCACCACCAAGGCGCCACGCGTGCAATTGCGCAGCACCACGCCCGACGCTGATGTCGACTACGATGCTCAGCCGGAGCTGCAATATTATGGAGCATTAAATCCGATTTATTTAACGCAAAATTTTTAGTGTTTTCATTTTGCCATTTTTGTTTACTTATTACAACTAGAATTTGTTACAAAATTTAATAATAAAAACTTATTTTTAAGTCTAGCCATTAAAAGCCTTTGCTGAAGAGTCCCTTGAAGCTGCCAAGACCGCCGCCGAAGCCATGTCCCAGGCCACCGCCAAAGCCGTGACCGCCGAATCCACCGCCAAAGCCGTGACCCAAGCCACCCAAGCCGCCGAAGCCACCGAACTTGCCACCGAGGCCACCGAAACCACCGCCGAAGCCACCGAGTCCCAGGCCACGTGCCACACGCTCGCTCTCCGACAGCTCCGATCGCTCCACCTGCAGGTCTCCATCCACATCCAGCAGATTGAGTGGCTCAATTTCCACCACCGCAGGCGCCGCCCAGCCAGAGGCGACCAGGCAAAGGCAAAGGCAAAGGCTCAGCGCGAGAAGATTCATGTTGGCTGGGCTGTTAACTGATTTGTACTTAATCTGCAAGTGACTGAGATCCATGCTTATATATGCACAGCATTACTTCTGGCCGATCTATTGGGCGCTACGGCTGGGGCGTGGCTCGTGCGTGTAGCTGCTAATTGCGTTTGTCCACATTGCGACTTTGTGCTTGCTTTTCATATCCAAATGTACTTTCATTCATTCATTCATATTTTTGAGAGTCTGCATGTTGAGCGAACATCATCTGTGTGTGTGTATGTGTGTGTGTACACTGAGGAAAAAATCTTCGTTGTACTTATATAAAAAATTGTTTTGTATTTATTATAGCATTAAAGTTATGATTATGATTAATATACAAACACTTCTTAATATTTAATAAAATAAAATTTGTAAATTAATAAATTTATTTTAAATTTTCAATAAGCTATTTAAAGGCAGATTATAATTAACATAAAAAAATTGTAGTAGATTTTGTTGAGGTATATAAACAATAATTATAATTTAATTATGTTTTTTTAATATTACTTAATCTTATAATTCAATATTTCTAATAAACTGATTTTTTTTATTTATTTTATTTTTTTAGGACTTTTTTTTTAATTTTAAATTTTTATCAGTTTTTAATACAATGTATTCTTAAAAATAAAATTATGAAATATATATAGGAGAGCATCTCTTAGTCGTTACGCTAGCAGAGGTCTTTAACGGTTGGTGCTAAATTTTCATTGGGCTGACTTAGCTTCTGGCTGTGACACTGACTCTAGTTGTGGCTCTTTCTCTATGTCTGGCTCAGCATAGTTTGCCTAGGTCTTTAGCTGGTTGTGTGGCGTTTGGGGCTCGCTTACATCATGTTTGCATATGTTTTTACCGCCTGCGCATTGGCGGGATTTGGTCTTGAAACGTAATCCAATTGACCTTAGCAACAGTTTATCTATTTGATCAGCAGTAGATTTTGTAATCGAAGCTGCTGATAAGAAGCGTTGATAAGCAGATAAGTACATATATTGAGAGAGAGAGAGAGAGAGACAGACAAATAGATGCTGCTGGCCTGGTTTGATCTTATTTCTCTGTCCGAATTGAGCTGCCTAATAAAATTCCCAACTTTTGTGCTATAAATTAAAAATTAGGCAGCTTTCTTTTAACACTTTAATAAATTTATGTATGTATATTATTTTTTCTGTTTAAACATATTTTCTGGCAAATAATTTATTACGCTAATTGGCACTTGAGTTGCTTAACATCTCGTTTGACGCAGCATGAGACGCCTTTTGCGATGTCGGCGCACGAATTTCTTGTAGTTGTTCTTCTTCTTCTTGCTGTTGTTGTTGTTGTTGTGGGATCTGCTGCTGCTCCACCAGCTGCGCCGGTGCTGCTCCAGCTGCGGCAATGGCATCGGCTGACTGATGCGCGGCTTGCGAACTTGATCCTGAACGAAGGCCCGAGACCAGGCAACGGGATCCAAGCTAGAATCGTAGCCCGCATCGTTCCGATGCCACCAGGGCATGGCCACGCCCAGTTGCAGCAGCACTAGTATTAGCATCAGCAGCAGACAGCTGCCCACAGTCGTCGCCGATGTGTTGAGCATTCGAGATGAGTGTGTGTCCTACTTGCCTGGCGTTTAATAAGAAACTGTTGCACGGCAAGTGGAACGAGTTGCGTCTTATATGAGCCGCTGCAACGCAATCCGCTCTAGACTCGGCTCGGGCTCTACTCTCCTAGGCCAATCGAGCTAAGTCTTCTGCAAACAGACCTTTGCATGCTGCACATGGCTTTCGAGAGCATTTACTGATTAACTGTGTCATACCTGCTTCACACACACACACACACTCACACACCACTCACCTGTATAAACTCTCCGTTAGGTAAAATTGTAGCGCAGGTCAGAAATGTTTTTGGTCTCAGTTTACAAATCTCTTTCGAATCGCTGTCAAATCTCTTTTCGAAATCTCCTGCAATAACACAAGCTGTTATAAATCATAAAAGTAGAGGACAAAAATCTGTTTTAGAACTCAATTAGAAGTCGATTTAGGTTTGCGCACAAAAGAACAGTTGGAAATTCGTCTGCAAGGGTGAAAAATGGGCGAAAATTGCATTGAATGAATTTCTTTTTTTAGGGATGGCAACAATCGAAAGTGGGTTACATGAGGGTAGATGGGTTGAATGGAAGGGCATGTGACAGGTAGAGGCACAGCACTGTGAATATAGAGTCCATATAGGCTAAGGAGTGCAACGAGCTCACAATCTGGAGAGTCGATGAGAGAGAGCGAGTCGATGAGAGACCGACTCGATGAAGTCTATTGAGCTTAGAAATCTAGATGAGCGGGCCCTCTCCACATAAACACCTTAACCTTAACCATGGCCTCTGAATAACCTACTAGAAAAATATATATACTAAAATTCGAAAATATTTATTGATATCTTTATAGAAAGCGATAAATATAAATTAAATGTTTTTTTTTTTTTTTTAATTTTAATTTTTTTTTTTAATATTTATTAAAAGATTTTTTCAACTTGATTTCATTCAATCAAGGGCATCTTTTGATCCAACATCTCTATTTGGCACAGTCTTCATATGTCGACTCTTAGTCAAAACCCTTTCTAAAGGCACTTTCATTCATTCAGATTCCTGCTTACCCATTAAGCAAATGCCATAATAAACCACAGCCACAGGTAGCATAACTCAGCCACATTCTACTCTACTCTCACGTCGATTCGCAATGGTCTTGCTGTTTTTTTTGTGAATACCCTCAGGCCATTGAAACTGTTTTAGCAGGGTATATGGAATGGTTTATAGCTGCTAATGTTTCCATGTAAAACAACATGTGCCATTGTCTCTAGCCGAACAATGGGACCCTACAAATTTCACTTTCTAACGAGCCAATTGCCAAGTGACTAACAAATTAGAGCTCTCTCTCTATCTCTGTGTGAGTGTGTGTGTGTGTGTGTGTGTCTGTACCTGTATTGAATATCTTGGTCAACACTTCAGTTTCATCTTGGACCTGCTTCTCGCCTTGCACTTGACACTCAACTCAACTCAACTCAAGTGGAGTTAACTCAACTTGATTCGGGTTGGCTGTCAGCACAATTAGCGACTTTTTGCCTTTTGGGACAGTTGTGAAATATGCGCTATCCTCGAAACTAGTTAACAGCAACAGCAACGGCAACACCAACGGCAACAACTCAACTAAGCCTAGTCCCAGTTAAGAGCAACTACTCCAATGAGCCCCAGTTAACTGGCAGCCACTTGGAGCAGTGCTTAAGCCGCCAAGTCTCCGGTTAATCCACTTTCCAGCTTTCCAGCTGGCTGCGACGCCAGTTGCATAAAAGCAGCAACTGTTGCCCGCTGCAGTGGCAGTAAACGGAAAAAGTTCTAGGCACGATGAGCTGTAAGTTTTTGCTGTGGCTTTGCCTGAGTCTCTGCCTGATCCTGGGCAGCTTTGCGGCCCAGCAGAGACGCGTGGCCGTTCCGCCGAATCATTTTGTGGGCAAGGGCGCCTACACGCTGGCCGCCAAGCGACATCAACCAGTGCAGCAGCATCAGCCGCCGCAGCAGCAGCAGCAGCATAAATATCGACAGCAGCAACAACAGCAGCTGCAGCAGCAGCAACAGTTGCAGCAGCGCCGGCAACTCTTTCAATGGGCAACGATGCATAAGAAATTCCATTAAATGTTCGCACTTGATATATTTTGGCTAAATAAATTAAATAAATAATTGAGAGAATTTGTTGTAAGTTTTAAGTGAATTTGCATTAAAAGTGCATGGCCAATGCATCGCCACCAAGGAAGCCCTGCATGGATGCCAGGCCGAGCTGCGCGCCTGGCTGGCCAAAGATGCCAGCGTGAGTTGGGGCTAGACCTGGGGCATTGGCCATGCCAAGGATGTTGTCCAGACCGAAGCCAGGCATAGGTTGCGGATTGCCATAGAGTGGATTGCCGAGCATGAAGCCAGAGTTGGGAAAGCCGCCAAGTCCGGCGCCAGGTGCAGCTCCAAGACCAGCTCCAAAGCCAGCTCCAGTCATAGGTGCTCCCAGACCAGCACCAAATCCTAATCCAGGCGCAACTCCCATGCCAGCACCGATGCCCGCTCCATATCCAGCTCCGGGCATGATGCCACCTCCGAGGCCCAGTCCAGCGCCGGGCAGACCCATGCCCAGGCCCATGCTGGCATCGCCGGGATAGCCGTTGGCAATGCCAGCCTGCAGGCCGAAGGGCGACATCAAGCCGGGATAGTTGGGATAGCGTGCCAGCTGCATGTTGCCCACCATGCCCAGAGCCATCTGATTCATGGGCAATGCGCCGCCGACGCTCATCGAGACTGGCGTCATGTTTCCTGTGCCCGTCGTCGCCATCATCTTGACATCCGCCTCGGCCGCTGGCGTCATCATCTTCATGTTCCGCTGCTCACGTGCCTCCTCCTTCACTGGCGCAGCCTGGCAGTTGCCCAGCAGCAGCAGCGCTAGCATCAATAGGGATCTCTGTGCGGCAACCGACTTCATTTTGCTTGACTTCGACTTGCGTTCGACAACTGTTTGCTTCCGGCACGCCAAAGTCGCTATTTATGCTGAGGGGGCGCAAAAAAAACTTTCTATTGCAGTTTTCTATTTGGCTCATAAAATGGCTCAAAGTAAGCGTTATTTTACGCTTTTATGACAGTAGCAAAATATATATGCATATATATATATTTCTGTATATTACTCAAGTTCCGCAGAGAGAAGCTGAGGCTGAGGCTGAGGCCCAAGTCTGCATCTGCGTTTTGTAATCTCTTTATAAACAATTCGCACATTTTGGCTAACGGCGAACGCAAATAAGGTGCTAAATGTCTCAGTCGATGGCATAAAATTATTACGAAGCAAAGTGAAATGCGCCGTGGCCTCAGTTGAAAGCTTTGTAAACGAAAGACTTAGGCAACGAACTTGATTTTTCTCCGCTTATTTCTTGGCCGTGCCTGAAAGTATGCCGGGATTTGTTGGCTATGTTTTTGTTGCTTGTGACTCATAACTTTCAGTTTCCATGCTAAATGTTTATGACTAATTTATGATCTTAAATTGAATCAACCAAATCAAGTGATTTCAATGCCGCCCGCGAATATCGTTAGTAGAACATAAAAATCAAAGACCTAAACTAGATTTTTATTTGGCAAACACAATTGGAGCGCTTTGTCCATAAGATATATGCAAATGTTACCGAATTTTAATAGCGTTTAGAGGCCGATATAGTTCAAGTTGGTAAGCATAAGTGTAAATGTACATATATGTTAGATTTTGAATAGCCTTGCATATGTGAGATATAATAAGTGGGGAGATAATCTCTAATAGCTAAAGCCTTTTTGGAATAGGTTGCTCTAGCTAGCTAACAATAAATGAATAGAGCATAGAGTAGAATTTATATCATTATTTATTATGTTTATTATTATGTTTATATGTTTAATAAGTGTTGCATCTATACAACGCAATTGTGTAATCTAAACAACACTAGTACGATAATATAGAAACAGCCGAACCTCTTGATATATAGAACAATAGATTAAATAGATCCTTTCATTTGATTAAACTCAAATTTATTTATTTTCTTTAGCTATGATGTAGTTCAGTTCTGTTACTCAGTTCCCTCCTATTTGTTATTTACGTATATATTTATGTATATTATCACAGCTTGAAGGTTCTCTTCAGCTGTTTCGAATTTCATATGACAAAAGTGTCTATAAAGGCTGCTCATTGATCATCGATCATCAGTCACTGACTCATTCAGTAATCCCTTGGCTATTACGCAACAGAAATACTCGATATTCAATTATTCCTAGAACTGAATGCAGATCCCAATGACACATCAAACGCATTGCATATGTCAAGCAATCTTTAATCGGATTAGCTTTATCAGTTTCATGATCTTTTAAATCATTTGTAGCATAGCAGGCAACAGCTAAAACAATTCGTAACTCGATATCTAGCTATCGAAAAGCAATCCCATAATTGATTAAATTTTCAAATTAATTTTAGTTTTAGTTTCTTAATTTCTTTATTTTCATGTAGTACATATAAATATAAATAAATAATTGTAGATTTTTAACACCTGTGCGAATATCTTAATGACTATTTATTGTAGAGTAGGCTTTCCTCTGAACTATCCGCCAAAGTAGTCCACCTCGTGGTCTAGATTCCCACGATTCTTGCGGGCATAGGAGTCGTAGTCGTAGCTGGAACGACGATGTGAGCCCAGGGAGCTGGGAATGTTATGGTAGCTGTAGACCACGCGGCTTGGATAGCAGATATAATAGTCGCCGTGATAGCTCGCACGCTTCTCTCTCACGGGCTGTCCGCTGAGATCGTAGGCAGACTGGATGGCCTGGTAGGGATTGCTGTCAGGTGCTGCCTGCATAAGGCTGACTGTAGCCAGCAAAAGTGCCAGGATCAGTGTGAGTTTCATTTTGTATAGTGATTCTGTTGCTGCTGCTGCTGCTGTTGCTATTGCCTTAGGTGTGCTCCAGTTGAAATTCCTTTTGCTTCTGTTTGGCAGCTGTCGGCTCTCAGCTCATTTTATACGAGCAATCGCTAATTTTTGACCGAGCCGCCTCATTCGGTTTGATTAGCACCTGAATAACATTTCCGTCCAACTTTAAAGAGTGACGTTCAATTCACGCTGGAAACTGAGCTCAGCTGCAAGTTGATCCATCAGTGTGGTATTTATTAACGCCCAATTTGCGTCTTAATTGTTTTTATGACTGTTGCGGTAGGCGCTGTGAATCAAATATATTTCACCAGTATGAGTGCCTCACAGATAATTCTTTTGCAATCCCCAATTTGACTGCAAATGAGTAATTTGGTTAACAGCTAGAAAGAGGCGTATGTATTAGATTACATAAAGCATATATATATTCTTGAGCAGGTATACAGCTTTATTAGTTTAATGATCTTTTAAATCATTTGTAGCATAGCAGGCAACAGCTAAATCAATTCGTAACTCGATATCTAGATACCAATAATCAATCCCATAATTAATTCAAATTTCAAATTAATTTTAGTTTAGGTTTCTTAATTTCTTTATTTTTATCTAGTACACATAATAATAAATAAATAATTGTAGTATTTTTAACACCTGTGCGTATCCTAATGACTATTACTTGTATCCCATCTGTGTTCCTCAAGTCTTAGAGTAAGTCCACCTCTTGGTCTGGAGGTTTGTAACGACGACGTGTGCCCAGGGATCTGGGAATGCTATGGAAGTCGTAGACCACACGGCTTGGATAGCAGATGTAATAGTCGTCCTGATAGCTCGCACGCTTCTCTCTCACGGGGTGTCCGCTGAGATCGTAGGCAGACTGGATGGCCTGATAGGGATTGCTCCCAGGTGCTGCCTGTATAAGGCTGATTGTAGCCAGCAAAAGTGCCAGGATCAATGTGAGCTTCATTTTGTATAGTGAATTTGTAATCGGCTCTAGATTCTGCTGCTGCTGCTGTTGCTATTGTCTTGGATGTGCTCCAGTTGAAGTTCCTTTTGTTTCTGTTTGACAGCTGTCGGCTCTCAACTCATTTTATACGAACAATCGCTAATTTTTGTGACAGACCGTCAGACGGTTGATTAGCACCTGAATAACATTTCCGTCTAACTTTAAACGGTGACGTTTAATTCAAGTTGGAAACTCAGCTCAGCTGCAAGTTGATCCATTAGTGTGGATTTTATTAACGCCTAATTTGCGACCTTATTGTTTTTGTGACTGTTGCGGTAGGTGCTGTGAATCAAATATATTTCATCAATATGATTCTAGATAAATCCAATTTGATTTCAAATGAGTAATTTAATTAACAGTTAGAAAGAGGCGTAGTAGATTACATAAAGCATATATATATATTCTTGAGCAGGTATACAAGTTGAGTTAATGTTGCTAAGCACGTACTCCCATTAATCCCTCTATCTATAAAGACTGTTCATCTGTTGCCTTATCCATCAATCTAGATTTATTTGTATATCTGTTCCAATTTCGGGTCTTATTCAATCATCTATTCGTACAACTCCCTATAAGTCAATTTGTCCATCTCTCTCTCCGTTCCTCTGTTGGCGTCCAGAGTATCTCAAAGCCATACACTCTTATCCAGAGTATGTTTACAGTAAGTAATATATTGTAGAGCTCCATTCAGTTGCCAGGTCTAAGTTTAGCTTATGTTTATTTGCGTTTTCTGTAATTCTTGTTAAACAAAATAAATAGATGCTAATTGGCTACTTATCATAAATCACTTTTCATCATACCCAAGTTTATTTCCGTGTTATTTTGCATATTACACCAAATTGAATATCAAGAAACGACGACAATTTGAGAAAAGAGGAGGCGGTGTTGGGCTAGGCTTGGCATGTCATGGGAGTTTGGTGACATGTTTGTTATAAATATTTACGGATTCTTAACTTAAGATATTGAACAAATATTTTTCCAAAAATATGTGTTATCAGGTTTCATTCAAGACTCAATGAATGTGTATATTAATAATCAGGCGATAACATACTCTGTCCAAAGGAAAAATAACTTGATAATACGACTTAAGTTCAAGTTCAATAAACCAGATATTCTGGGATTTGATCTGCATACAGCTTATGACAGCTAAAATATAGGTATATACATATACACATCTCCATTTATATCGCCAAGAATAGCCCATTTAATCATATTAACTTTAAAAGAAATATTTCACTTTAATTCGTTTGAATTTAATTAATAAAAATTGATTGAAAATATATTTTATTAAATTTTTGTCTTTTTTAATAGATATTTTTTAAATTGAATAAATTTTTTAGTTTTTAAATAATGTTTATTTAATATATTATAAATGGAAATAAAAAGCAAAAATAACATTATTCAAGAAAATACAAAAATATTATTCAAAATAATAATTTAATTATTTTTAATTTATTTAGTATGTTCCTTATTTATTTATTTGGCTTTTACTTAAATTTTGAGTACATATTAAATTAATTCATTTGCATAAATTAATTATTTTTTTGTTTATATATTTTTTCAATTACTCTGAAATCATTTGATTTATTTAATTCATTAATTTCAACCGCAAAAGCATTTTTAACTCAGCCTTAAACAAAAACAATTGTTGATGACTAATTTAAAAATCATTTATCACCTCTTATTTTACGGCGATAAATTTCTTGGCGTCAATTTTAATTGTCAATAAAAAATAAAAAACGTCTAATGAATTGTCTAGTCGAAATTTGAAGAAAATATTAAATTAAAGGTTCAGCTTCAGTAGTATTTTATATGTATATAGAATTAATTAATGTCATATGCCGTAGTTATGTGTAAATTAATAAATTTGTATGGAATATTTTTAGCTATTTTTCTCTCATTACTTTGTTTGTTTTACTTCTTTTTGTGATAAAAATAAATTCTTCATATTTGCTTGATATTTTGTTGTGTTTTATTAATAGTATTATTGTTAATGCCAAGATTGTTGACTCTGCTGTTTATTTGTTGTTGTTTGTTCGCTAAAAAAAAAACCGGCTGGTAGCAGGCGTCAACAGCTGAGCTCCAACATTTTACGCGAATGCGTAGAAACCGTGCCCCCAAAATCTTCCAGCTTTTTTTCAGCTCTTTGTTAACGAAAAGTGTTACGTATTTGTTTTAATATAAATAGTTGAATGTCTGCTCTCTTTGTTATGATGTGCGGCATGATTTTGAAATGAATATACTTTTATTTATTTATTTATTTTTTGGTTCATAAGCGAGTATTACTCAGTTTTTTTTTATTAAATTTCATTTTGTTTCGTTTTACATTAAAAGTCGATTACGTTTATTTGCCAAAGCTAGAGCTGGCCGAGGCCGAGGCCGATGCTGAGGCCGATCCAAAGCCACCGCCTGGATAGCCGCCACCGAAGCCGCCTGGATAGCCACCGCCGTAGCCGCCGTAACCGCCCGGGAAGCCACCGAAACCACCGCCGCCAAAGCGACGGAAGCCACCGCCAAAACCACGACCACCGTAACCTCCGCCAAAGCCACGACCTCCGAAACCACCGAAACCACCGCCGCAGCAGAAGCCGCGAGCCTCACGTGCTCCATCCGCATCATTCACTGGCTGCGCATCCACATCCTCAAGCGTTAGCTGCTGTGGCTGCTCCTTCTGCTCCACCTCCTCTAGTACCAGTGGCTGAGCCCAAGTCAGGCTTAAGGCCAGGCAGTAGATGAGCGCCAGCACCACAAATTGTTTCATGTTTAGTTGTGCAATTGCTTCTATTTGGGTTCTAGCGATTGTCGAGATCTTTTATAGGCAACGATATTTGAACGGGGATGCCCCAAAAGAGAACAACTATGCGAATCTGATTGGCTCATCCTGCCAAGCGCATCATTAGTTTCAAGCATCTATCATTATTTTTGTTTTCAAATTGTTTTTCGTTTTCGATGATTTCACCAGAGCTTGTAAATGGAATTCCCAGACCCCCAAGGCATTCGTTTCGGATGCCCCCGCATTGGGAGCTTACTTTTGGATGCCATTCATTAGTTTGGCCTAGAGCCAAAGACCTACATTGTTGCAAAGCCCGAACTTCTCACAGAGTTGCCATAAACATTAAACCTCTTCAGCTGGGGACTCACTGAGAAAATACCCTGTAAATTGGGGAATTATATGAGGTAGTTTAGCTTGCTTAAATGGGATAGTGTAATATTCTTAAAAAATATAAAATGTACTCTCTAAGGCATTCATTCTGTCAATACCCTGTAAGTATACTAAGCATAAAAGGTAGTTGAAGCCATGACAAGTTCTAGGGCCAATCATAATTAGGTTTATTTTTAGTTATCTAAAGTTTGTCTATGTCTTCATGCCTCAAATTTCGTTTTATCATAATTTATAGGGTATTTTCATGTGCTACACTTGATCTTCTTTTGATTATTATTGCTTTCGCTCGTCAACAATTTAAACACCGTGAGCGCCAATCGAAAATAATTAAAAACTTGTTAAGAGCTCTGATCACTGACCTTTCAATTTGATTGCAGAACTGCGCAGTTAAGAGTTTGTCTCAGCAGCTACTTATTTCAATACTTTTTTCATTCTCTAATCTTTTTCTTTTTCTGTCATTAAAAACCCGTTTTGTTTATATCTATATTTTTATTAAGAGTACTTAATTTGTTTTCGTTTTCTTTTTGCCTAAAACAAGTGTCGGCGTCATGAAATTGTCTAATTAGCTTTTATGAAACCATTTTTCTATGTATTTTAAACAAATTAAAAACAATTTTAAATTCAAAGAATTTTTTAAAAAATGTTTTTAAAAAATCTTAAACAAAATCTGTATAATTAAATTGAAAAACAAAACATTATAGATATAAATATTTAAATTGCAATTGAAGAATTGCTATTAGAATACATAAAAAAATTCTTCACAAATTCATTTAAGTCATTGATAATATACGATAGTTAGAACTGTTTTATCTGAAGCATATTTTTAGGCTTTCGCCAAGTTTAGATCATAAATCTTTGTCTTGTGCAAATGCTTAAAATTCATATATGTTAGGTTGACCAAAAAGCTGTGTAAAATTTTCGCTCAGTGCACATCAAATTTAAACAAAAAGTCCATATGAACAAAATGTGAATGACGTTTAGACAAAACATGAGTCAAATTAATGAGACAACAAAAATGAGAACCGGTTGATATACAAATATCTAATTGCTCTGTCCAGACATCAACTGAGATGACAGAAAAAAAGATGATAGACTAATTAATAATTGTAGAATCACATGATAATCAAGATAGATTACATGTGTTTACATTCATTCAAATAATTCTCCCACAGAAATGCATATTTAGCTGAAAGGCGGTTAACGAACTCTATAGGGGGAAGATTTTCTTACTTGCATGCAGAGATTAAACGACTTATTAATTAACTTTTAGATAACAAAATATTCCATTCATTACACTTAGCCCTCTACTAAAGTCGAGTACTTGTTTTGTTTACGCACTTGTCAAGGTATTTCTACTGAAAGTAAATATAATTATAGGCGTCTTAAAATACCTTATATCATATTTCATATAATTCTAGTTCATCCCATAAAGCAAACAAGTTCCACAAACTTTTGAAAAACCCGCGGAAGTGAACAGAAAAAAAAAAACAAACAATAATAACGCATTAGCGGTGTGAAACAGTTTTTGTATACCCATTGAAATTGATTTGAATAGGGTATGTTGACTTTGAGAGTTGATATGAGATATATTTCTGTGAATATCTGATTAAATATGTGTTTAGATCTATAACTATGTATATTCAATATGAGATCTATTTGACATAAAAGAGAATATATACTATCTATATGGAAAGATATATGATGTTTGCAAAAAAATTGATTAGAGAATTTTTAAATTTTTTTTATTATACACATACAGACTTTTAAATAAAGATATATGTAGTATATGTATATGTAGTAAAAAAAAATGTATAAAATATAGAAAACCAAAAAGCTTTTTGATATGTATAATAAATCCGCAAAGCCTCTTTATTTACTCAGAGCGCCTACATATAACCTATATGTTAAACAAATTAAGCTCACATCTCTATATACCCCTTAGCTCTTATATACTGATCATAGGCTACCCACACACGCCATCTAAGCTGAATGTTTTCGTCTCAAATCCACATTTGATTAACCTCAAATCTTTTACACAGTATTAGTTAGTCGTGTTTTATTAGTGTTTACTGTTTTCGCTTCATTCTTACCTATTTGGTCAATATTTGCCGAGTCGTGGAGTAAGGTCAATGTCAGACAGCGTCTGCAGTCGTTTGAGCATGCGTGAAAGCATGAAAACCAGTCCATGACGCGATTTCGGCGCGTTTCCGAGGCGTTTCAAGCGCGTTTCTTACTTTGCGTGTGCGTTTGGTGCGGTTCCGTTGTGAATTTTGGCAACAAATATTGGATGCGCCGAAGGTCTGCCAGTTTCCGTAACAGATTTGGCCAACAAATAGTTGTTAAGGGGCGTGGTTGTTTCTATACCTTTTGCGCATATATAAACTAAATTTGGTGAAGTGCCGCAGTTTTAGTTTGTGTTCGAGCGTCGCCAGAGTTAAGTTTGTAAAATGTATTGGCGCTCGCGTTTCTGTCTGCTCGTTGTCTTCCTCGCGCTGGTGGCTGCCCAGAAGAGCAAATCGAAAGCATCGGATCGTCCTCAGGGACGCACATTGGGTCTGCTAGCGCCGTTGCTGCTCGGCGCGGGGGCGAGTCCGCTGTACGATGTGCCAGTGGTGCCCGTGGGTGGTACCAGTGGAAGTGGCAGCGGTGCAGGCACACAGTCGGATCCCTACTATGGAGGAGCTGGAGTTGCAGGTGGAGGCGGCTATCCGGGCTACGGCAACTACTATGGCTATGGCTATCCCAGTCTGGGCCTAGGCTATCCCAGCTACGCCAACTACTTGGGCTATCCGAGCTATGGCTACAACAGACCCAACTACAGCTACAACAACTACAACAGACCCAACTACAACTACAACAACTACAATAGACCCAACTACAACAACTACAACAACTATGCCGCCTATCAGCGACCCACACAATATCCAGGCAGCTACAACGGCTATCGGCCCAACTACAACAATTTCAATAGCTATGGCAACGCTGGCAGCTATGGCAACAGACCCGCTGCCTATCCAACGCCAGTCAGCTCCAGTCCCGGCTCAGGTAGCACGGCAACAGGTGGAGCTGGCTCACAGTTAACCACGGCGCAGGCAGCACAAATCGCTGGGCTACTGGGCCAAGCTTTGGGCAGCAGTTTGCGTCCTCTTTTGGCCAATGGTGGTGCAGGTGGTGCAGGTGGTGCTGGCATCAATGCGCAAGCGCTAAGCAATATCTTGAGCAACCTCAGCGGCTAAGCTCGTTTACTCTAAGTGATTAATGAAGTATTTGTAAGCTAAGTCTGTTAAAATATTAAATATTGTTAATGCATTAATTTTGTTTAATAATTGTTATATTTAATATATTACTCAGCATGAGTTGCAATTATATATTTTTGTTCATGATTGACTGGATTCTAAGTAAGTTGAATGGACTCAAACAGGGGATTTACTTTGAAGCATTGGCAGCACTGGTTGCCTAAGAAATTTATCGATAAATTTGCAATATTTTTCTCTCAAGGATTTGAAATTATATGCAATACATTGAGGTATTTTGTGTCAGCCTAAAAGTATGTTTTCCATTTGACGCTCATACGCGCTTGCTTATTGACATAAATTAGAATTTAAATAAATGCTATTGACTTTTGAGAGTGAAAGAACTTTTATTTATAAAGCAATGGACCTTGTTTGCCCTGCACTTCAAACAACCCGCTAGAGTGCAAAGTCATTCAGGCAAAGAGCGTGGCTAAATTGTGGGTGTCAATAGTTTTAATTGGAAGTGCAAAGTGCAAGTCTTGGACCGGGAGTATAAAGGTGGCAGTTGGCCCCCATTATTCCTAATATACCCAATATACCTATTGGCAGACAGTTCGTATTCCTCGATTTATTCGCAATGAAACTGTGCATTTTGTTCGTGCTTGCACTTGCCAGCTTTGCCTGTGGCTTGCCGGCTCCAATTACGCTGGAGCAGATGGAGATGGAGCTGCAGCAGGCGGTGCAGCATCAGGACAATAAGGACAAGGACAATGACTCAGTAGCTACCTTGAAGGATGTCGCTGACGTGGACACCCAACACTCTGACCAAGGAGCTCGTAAATTACGCCATATATATGGCGGCCCTTGGTCACGTAGCTACATTTACTTTCCCCGACCACCCTGCAACGACTACTACTATTATTATTATTGGTGGTAAATCTACTAGACCAGTCTCATGATGCGAAATATTGACGACACCGATTGTATACATGGAAATGATTTGGACTTGCTATAAAGTTATTATTTAAGTTTTGTTCACTTAAAATGCTTTTAAAATATTTTTCAATTTTTTGGTATGTAATGAAATAAGAATGTAATAAGAATACTTTGATCATATATTTGAAACCACACTTGTTTAAATATGAGCTAGATGGCATAGATCAAAGATCACAGCTTATAGTAAATTTGATTATAGATCATAGACCATAGATCATAGATAATAGATCATAGCTTATAGTAAATTTGATTAGAGATCATAGATAACAGATCATAGATCATAGATCATAGATAACAGATTATAGATCATAGATCGATGATAGATCATAGATCATAAGACATGCATCATACTTTTATGATTAGGCTATAAACGATAGAACGGAATTTACATATTATTTCATAGAGTTTAGACAAAAGCTCATAAAAAAAACTTGATTTTGTTTACCTTTACGAAAGGTTAATAGCGGGGTCAGCTCTATCACTTACTTTAAATAATCAACTATAAAATTTGAAAGCTAGCTAATCGCCATTGAACAGAATAATTCAACACTTAGTCATAGAAAAAAAAAAAAGATTTCGCTGATCATCTATGAAGGTGTTAATTGACGCTAGAATGGAAGGGAATCACAGTGGAGCTTATGACGTTGATCGAGTAAATGAAATATGTAAAAGCTCATCAATATTTAAACAGAATCCACAAGAGTAAGAGTAGATGCATGTCATTGATCAAATAGGCTGACTCTAAATATGCTAATATTAGTAACATCATCTGCTTAGTTGTTCTCCATTCCAGAGTATTTCACATTCGACGCTTGCTTGGAGACTTAACGTCTTTATTAGTCTCAACTAGTTTCTAGTATTTAACAAAGATTCACACCTACTTAATTTACTGCTACTTTTTGCATTCCACATAATAAATTCAAATCGAACGGGATTTTATTTATAAGTCGAATCGAGTCGAGGCGAGGTTGGATTCAAATTTATTTGTATTTTGTATTTCATATGAATTTATATTCATTCTGATGCCAAATCGCCTCCATTTGGGCAGCGCGACGTCGCCGTTCTTTGCGCTCCTCAATCTGATAGAGCTGCGCCTCTTTGGTAGCCAGCAGTATTTGCCTCGTCTCCTCGTGGCGATGCTCTTCTGAGTTTTCACTGCAGGGGAGTCAAGTTATATTTCTAAGGAAATGTCGATTGCAACAAATTCAGCTGACTCACATTTCTCGCTGCTGTTGCTTCTGTTCGAGCAGCTCACGTTCCGCTGCCTCGTCTCTCATCAGCGCCATTTGGATCCATTCAATGCGCTTATTCTGCTCTAAGTCCGTCTGGGCTTGCTGCAGCTCCGCCAGTTCCTCATACAGCTGCTGCTCCTCGCTGTGGAGCTGGTGAGCGAGCAGATGACGACGTCTATCCAAATCTTCAGCATATTCGCCTAGCTTACGTTCGACATGGCACTCGATTTGGGTATTTCGATTGCGTCGATTGGTTCGATTCAGAAACTCGGCCACATGCATTTTCGGGCTGTTGCTTGTTTGGTCGTTGACTGGACTCAACGAGCCTTGGTAACGGCATGAAGAATGTTCAGTGCTGACTACTCGTTTGGCTCTGTTACTGTACTGTTAGCTGTATTTACATTTCATGAAACATACTGTTTAGACACTAAGGAGAGGTTGAAATGCAGACATAGAGTAGAGATAGAGAGGGAGAGAGAGCAAGAGAGAATGCCTATAATAATATCAATATTCAAGCTTAGCTACCATATGATGGAATAGATAGACTCCATGAGTCCTTTTGCCTTTTGATGTTTTCTAATTCCAAAATTGAATTATTACATTCTTAGCCATACGAATCAGTAATACATATATTATTTACATTCAACAATACTAAGTAAATGAGTTGAAGCATTCGGACTTACATTTTAATGCGCCCCTCCGAGACTAATTAATCATAAGCGCCTACAAATTATGGGTATTTCCATAAAGCTGAAACAACAATTCATCTTGCCAAATCTGCAATAAATAGGTCTGGCATTACTCAGGTTGGGGTCAGTTGAGAATTGCATTAGAACCGGAAAGATGCGCCTAACACTATTGCTGTTGATAATTGTGGGAGCCGTCTGCCTAAGCTTGAGCTACGGCCAGCCATTGGAGGATGATTCAGTTAAGGATAACAATAACGAGTTATCGCTGCTAAGTCTGGCCGATCAGGGCGATCAACATGGGAACGAAGGCGATCGAGAGGCCCGTGCATTTGGATTTGGACGTAGAGGATATGGCCGTGGTGGCTTTGGATATGGAGGATATGGTCGTGGTGGCTTTGGATATGGAGGATATGGCCGTGGTGGCTTTGGATATGGAGGATTTGGCCGTGGTGGCTATGGATATCGAGGATTTGGCCGTGGTGGCTATGGTCGTTATGGCTATGGCCGCTAATCTGGAGTGGATTTTTACTATCACACCACAAAAATATATATTATGTAATGTAATCTGAATATGTTTGAAAACAAAGTAAATCTCATATTACTTGATATATTGAAATGTATTAATTAATTTGTGAAAAGTTTAATGTTGAGTGTGAGGTGTGAGATCAACAGATACCCCGTGCCGAGTCAAGAACTTCCCGATCAAAGTCTTTCATTGCGTTCAGTTTTTTGCTGCTCTATTTCTAGGGCAAGCATGTGTCGATAGATTTTGTGAGATGGAACTCAATAGCGGTATGGTTTGCTCAGATGTATAAATAGAAGGATCTATAAACTCTCGTATTTTTAGGGGCGGACAGTACGAATTTACCTAAAAAATCTGTAATCCTATGCAAAGCCTTAATCATAAATAGCAATTTTTAATTGGTCATTCCTCCCAGTTAATAATGTGCATCTCATTAGAAGTATATCACAATTGAGCTTAGAAACACGTTTAGCTCTTTAGCTACCCAATTATTCATTTAACCAATTTGCATTATAAAAAGCGGTATATATATGTACATACATGTGTCATATCAACTTAGCTATGCGCAATTTGAATATTTTGTTTCAGCTAATTTGTTTTGATATTTTGGATATTTTTTTCTCTTTTGTTCCATTATAATGCATCAGTGTGTCATAGAGAACAATTCACGATTATATGCGAATTTCGAGTGTTTACTTATTGGACTTTTGACTTTAGCTCTACTTATGTATTCTTTTTTCATAGTATATACATTTAGCATAGCTAAAGCGAATGACTTGCCGATTGCAATTCAAGTAGCTCACTTGCCAGAGACTGCTTATGGGACTTTACAATAATACTTGCTGATCAGCTCATCTTTATGTATTGATTAATAGTAGTAGCAATAGTAAAGGAATTAGAAGTAGTAGTAGTAAGATATGGTAGTAGTAGTAGTAAAAGTATTATTATTATTAGTAGTAGTAGTAATAGTATTATTAGTAGTAATGGTATTAGTAGTAGTAGTAGTAGTCATGATAGTAGTAATAGTAGTAGTAACAATCGTGATAGTAGTAGTAGTAGTAGTAATAGTAGTAGTAGCAGTCGCGATGGTAGTAGTAGCAGTCATGATAGTAGCAGTAGTAGTAGTAATAGTAGTAGTAGTAGTAGTAATAGTAGTAGTAGCAGTCGTTATAGTAGTAGTAGTAGTAGTCGTGATAGTAGTAGTAGCAGTCGTGATAGTAGTAGTAGTAGTAGTAGTAATAGTAGTAGTAGCAGTCGTGATAGTAGTAGTAGTAGTAGTCGTAATAGTAGTAGTAGTAGTAGTAATAACACTAAAACCCCAAACAGCTCGCTTGTATCCTCCCCTTTACAACACTAACATTAGCATTACTAATGAGCAGCTTCTCCCCATTAAGTGGGCATTGCACAGTGACCTGCTTAGATGCATAATTTGTATAACAATAACAAGAGTTAAAACAAAAGAAATTTAATTTGAGCAACAACAACAACCGCAGGCAGAACAGGTGTAATAATCTAGAGAGCAATAAATAAATAAAAACATTGTGAAAGTAACAATGCCTGGCATCGACACCAGGCAAAAAGTAAACAAAAATTCCCATCCCCATTTCCATTCTAATATTGTTTGTGGATTTTAAGTACTGTGTGACACTTAAAATCAGGCAATGCGTACGAGAACAGGAACGGGAACAGCTCATCCGGTTCTGGCCAGGCTCTAGATAGCCAAATAAAAGGCCGACGGATTAAAGCATCAGGCATCAGTAAAGCACAATCACTCAACCAACCAAGTAATAAACCAAATCCATTTAAGGAATTCTCCAATCAGGATGCGCTTCACACTTTTGGCACTCATCGGCGTGGTATGCCTCGCCTACACCTATGCCCTGGCCGACATCGAGGCTGAGGAGCAGTACCCTGACGCACAGCTGAATCTGCTCAGCCTTGAGATGGATGGAAATGCACATGAGAACGAGGGTCTCCGTCAAGCCCGCCAAATCTGGCGTGGAGGCTATGGACGGGGCCTTGGCTGGGCCGGCGGACGTGGAGGATGGGCTGGTGGACGTGGTGGATTGTCTAGCTGGGGCGGACGTGGAGGATTGTCTAGCTGGGGTGGTCGTGGCGGTAGATGGGGCGGTCGCCGTTGGGGCGGCGGTTGGTAAACTGTCCAAGACGAAGCTCATCTAATCGAAGCTGCAGGACAGAACTTTCAGTTTTTGTACATATTCTGTTTGCCAATAAAGAACATTAAAAAAAATATTTTTAATATTTGTTATTTTTTTAATTTTTTCAAACTAAAAAACAAAAATTATAAGGAGCTCAAAAAAAACAAACATTTTTTCTTTTTTAGTTTAATAAATATATATTTTTACAAATAAATACAATATCTTTTAGATTTTGAATTATTTTCATATATTTAAATATGATGTAGATTTTTCTCTAGTTATTATAAAAAAAAAAAACATATTTATATTTTAAAAAAATATATGTTTTGAATTAATATTTTAGAATTCCGCAATTTTGTTTAGCAATAAATTTTAAAAATATCTTAAATCTGTTTTGCAAGATGCAAGCGGCTTGAGTAAATGTAAGAAAACATCAAGTCGAGTCTTCTTTAGCTTTGTGTATTTAGAAAGATTTCTCGAAAATTATTTGGCTCTCTTAATCTGTCATCAGACGATGAAGCCATTTATCCTTCAACTCTTTGATAGTCATCAAATTAATAAGTTTATTGACTTCTCTTGTTTGTGTTTAATATTTCTAAAAACATTTCACATTTTGTTTAATTTATTTTCTTTTTTATTTTGTTTTGTGTTTGTCTCAGAACTGGCTTTGACAGTCCCCCCATTTAAATGCTTGCCTTATTATACGCTAATCAGCGCTTCCATTATTTTTGCCAAGTCATTTTTAGCGCGCAGCGCCGTAAATAAGTGAAAGTGGCATCTGGAATTGCAGTTGAAATTTATGAATTCGTATTTGTTGCGGTATATAGCTGAGCTTTCAATTTTTGAAATGTCTGGCAACGCTGCTATTTTTTTTATGAGATTCATTAAGTTGGACTTTTGTTTATTTCGATTGATGATATTTTTCAATAAAGAAATGAGTCAATAGATTTTTATATCATAGTATACCATTTGTTCCCCACTCATCTTTCACTTCGACTTTGTATATGATCGGTATATTCTAGTCGGATAAACTAATGTCAACTCAACCCAAAGAATAAAATTTGACTTATGGCACATATACTCGTTGATTCCCTCGTCTTATAAAGTGTTTAGTAATAAAGATCGTCAGATAGGGGGGAGCATACCATAAAAAGAAGGAGCTGCACATGATTCTAGCTCAAGACGCTATCGTTTCTGCAGATCTATTATAAAGGTTGACAAAAAATTATATATTCACGACAACTGGGCAAAAAAAAAACAAGACCTATAGTTAGATTATGATATACAAATAAAATCAGATAGGGTATCTTCTAGTCAAAATTTGTCACTTTCATCGCTATTCGCTTATTTGGATCAAAACAAAAATAAATAATATATTGCACAAAACTTGATTAAAGAAGCACTCTTCTTATTGTATGCAAATTAATGGATTCACGCAATCGCACAGTCGCACATATTGTCAGGGATTCACACACACGCACACACAGACACACACTTGCTTGCACACACCCACTCTAGCTACAAGTTCTAATAAATTCAGCTGTTAATATAATCCACTTAGGACTTTCATTACACTGATCAACATGATTTGGCTACGAAGAAACATCTGGAACTTTAAATTTTCTAGAAATATTTACATACAAATATTAAAAAAAAGAAAGTTGAATTGGCTTTATTGAATTGTATAATATAATATATAAAAAAATCCTTAAAGAAAATAATCAAAACTCAAGTGAGGCATTAAAATCTCAGATTCTGTTGAATTCAGCTTCAGATGTTCCTCTGGGCTTCAAGTCTTCAAATTTGTAGCCGGAAATTTCTAGGTTTTGCAGAACTTAAAACCCAAATTATATATTTTTCTAATTCCAGTTACGTTTATAGCACATCAAATACTTGCAAGTCATGTTCAAGACTGACGCACAGAATTTCATCACACTCTGGCTGGCCTGTGTATTTGGGAAGTACCTTTTGGGCAGGTGCAACTTTTCGACCGTGTGCTAAGCAAATGGCAGCGTGAAGCAGGTGTAATAACCTTCTAGCGCATGATCAACAAATAAATAAATTACGTGAAAGTGAACAAAATAAACAGAATTGCAATAATTAATATAAGCAAATAAAGTCCAACCACAAGTTCTACTCAGCCTTAGAACTGATATACATATACGATGTGAATTAGAAGAAGGCGCTGAAAATAAAGAAAAACAAGTCGAGCTCTCAGGCAAATATAAGGCCGACGAAATTAGGTTTGCAGCATCAGTTCAACTTAGAACGATTTACCGAGTATATCGAGAGCGAGAGAGCAAGGAAATCAAAACAGTGAAAGATGCGTTTAACACTTTTGGCGCTAGTTGGCGCAGTTTGCATCGCCTGCAGCTTTGCCCATCCGCTGGAGGAGCAAGCCGAGAAGAACGACCTGTACAACGTGGCTGATCTGGGTCAAGGCCATGCCAATGAAGAAGGACGACAGGCTCGATTCCTGCTTGGAGGCCTTGGCGGCCTTGGCGGCTGGGGTGGCGGCTGGGGCGGAGGCTTCCGTCGCGGCTGGGGCGGTGGCTGGGGAGGCGGCGGCTGGGGCGGCGGCTATGGCGGCGGCTGGGGAGGTGGTGGCTGGCGTGGTGGTTGGGGCGGCGGCTGGGGTGGTGGCTATCGTGGCGGCTGGGGCGGCGGCTGGCTTGGCTAAGCTCTGCTCAAGCAAGCAAATCAGCCTCTACCAAGAACGACCTGCCAAGCAGCTGCTGCACCACAACAGCTTCTAATCCTTTACTGGTGTTTGTAAATAAAGAACATTTAAAAATCGAAAGATTTTTTTATTTTTTGTATTTTAGAGAACTTTCTAAACATTGCAGAGTTCTAAAGAAAAATGTATTGGCTTTATAAAAGTAGAGGAAATGAAATAAGAAACCTTTAGTCGAGACTGCTCGACTAGGAAGAGCAAATGACGAAGAAGAACTACAGAAGATCATCTCAGTTGCCTATGTATGTGTAGCAGTATTCCTTTGGTATTTATATGAGTAAAACGAAGCTAGAAGCAATAGAGAGAGTGAGAGAGAGTGTTCCCATTGGTTATTTATGGCTCGACTGAAACGAGCCCTACCTGACTTCGGCCCCAATAAATGAGTACGATTTAGGCTTTGAGCGAAAGTCGATCGATATAACGGGCAGCAGCTTCAGCATTTCTTCAGTCGCCCAGACCCGGTGGGGGTCATTCGTGCAGTGCATTAAAGTGAAGTCAAGTGTGTGATCATTGCTAAGCATTAAAGACATGGAGGCAATACTTAGAGGAAATACTTGAAGACAATACTTGCAGGAAATACTTAGAGAAATTAAAAAACAGTTTTTATAAGAATAATATTTATTTACGTTATCATCAATACTTCATTAATAAATATACATACATGTATATAATCTGCATCCCATACCCAATCTAATAAATCAAAGTCAGTCGATATATATTTTTCGAGCAATATTCGTTTTATTGCAAAGCTTGCTTTAAGTCGTACGACAATTTAACAATCAAACTTACATAATGTACAAAACATATACATACACATATATAAATATATTTATATACATATACATATACATGCAATTCGTTAGGCGCTAGGTAGATGTGAAAGGGAGTTCGAAAGAGAACGCAGGGAAAATGCATAAATATACACAGAGTGGGAAAAATGAAAGGAGGGGGAGTGAGTGAGTGGGTGAGGGAGGGAAAATGGAGACAATATACATATACATATATAGAGAGACAGAGGTCTGTGAATCCTTTGCTGCCGACCAGCTGAGCTTCATCCTGGATGTTATCATACAAATATAATCAATTATACATATATTGTAAATATATATATTTCTCAATGGTCGTCATATGAATTATTTGAAGAATCTGCGTGGAGCAGCGGCAGCTGGGCTAACTGGAGGTGGAGTTGGAATATGAGCGCCCTCGGCACGGAAGCCATTTTCATCGGCGATGTAGGTGATGGTATAGAGAACACCGTCGGGACCGGTGTACGAGTAGGAGCCTTGCATGACCTGGCAGAGAAAATAAGACGATTATGTTGAGAAGATTCTGAGAAGTGTCTAAAAGTAGGCAACGAAAGCTTTAGAAAGCTTTCACTTGCTCCCGAAAATGGGCAACGGGTAAAAGTCTACCTGAGCTTCCAGCTGCGAACCGGGATTCTTGAGGTAGCCAGCTTCATCGGCGCGAATTCCGTTGCTCGTCTCGTAGCTGGGAATGAATTATATGAGAGATATTTCATAAAAATTCAATTATATAGAGCATCAATCATATATACGATTTGCTTCAATCATTTCGAAATGGGAGCTGGATTAGCATTATATATAAGATTCATATTTTAGACTAAGACTAACTGGCAGAAGGATTGATTGACTGATTATCCAAATAATCTATGACATATACATATAGAGCTGCCTGAATGAGTTGGTCATCAATCCTTAATAGCTTGGCCATGATTGAATTATTGACTAGTTCAATGGCGGTAGAACAGTGCGAGTATAATACATATATAGGTATATAGTATGATAGTTATCTGCATATTAACAGAACTGAGTGAATGATTGGCTAACGAGCTGACTGACGTTTAGTAGATCTATTAATGCGACAATCTGAATGATTGACCTATTGGTTGCCAGATTGAATGATCGATTGATTGATTGATTGGTTGACTTATTACTTGTTAGGCTAACTGACTGACTAACTAGAGAGCTATGTGTACCATAAAGATGTGGGAGTGCTCCTGCCTCCTGACTGAGTAACTAAATGGCAGACGAAATGATTGATTGACTGACTCTAAAAATGCTTGAGCGTTCCAACTGATTAACTGAGTAACCAAACGACAAACTGAAGTTGTGACACAATAGTTTGATTGTTTGACTGATTGGAGGATCTAACTGATTGAATGTCTTACAGTGTTGATTGATGGCCAATAGAATGATGTCTATGCATTCACGTTTGCTTATAATCAAAGCCTACCTTCATTTGCGTTTCCCAATTTTGTTTAAAATGTCGCACATCATCATCACCATCTACTTACTTGTATTGATAGGAGCCATCCGGATTCAGATCAAAGTTCTGCTTGAGTATCACAGCGTTCGCATCGTATGAGTTGCCGCGGGGCTGAGCCAGACCGCGTTGTGGCTGAGCTGTGACCAGGCACAGGGAGCACAACGCCAGGGCGGCGACGACGTAGGCGGAGCTAAGCAACTGCATGACCTTTTTGTATGTTTGATAAACGACAAGGCAGATGATTGGTTAATTGAGCACAGCAGCAGCGACAGCAACTTCAGATAATGTCAAACGATGTGAATAATTGCAATTGATGGCTCTACTAATAACCAGCAATCATCTTTTATGGCATCTTTCGAAAGTCAACAAATAATTGGCGAGACAAGAAGGTCGCAGCTAAATGCTGCCTAAATATGCATATGAGGAAGAGGAAGAAGAAGACACACAGAAGTGAGCTGTGAAACTTTGACGAGGTACTAGATTATATGGGCATATGAGTAGAGGGCGGTAGAGAGAAGTGAAGTATTTCTGTTATCGATTATTGGCTATCGATATTTTGCTGAAATTACTAGGATACAATCCAGAGTCAAGAACTCGGAAATAGAGTCAAAAAACTGATAGCTAAATGCCTAATAATGTGAGAGAGCGAGACAGAGCATTAAGGAATACAATATCGATCGATCGATTCTTGACTATCGATATTTTCAGCTTATTTCAGTCTTCCTCAGAAGTATTTTAGCCTTAGCTAAGAAACTTTTTAGAGCAACTATTTCATTAATTTATTTAAGAGGAAATGCAAACAAGTCCAGATTACTTTTTCTTGATTTTTTTCTTGATCTAGCTTTTATATATCCTTTTGAGAATATATTTTTAGAAACTTGTAGATCTCTCAATTGTAATCCAAAGGATTTGCCTCCTTGCCCACATGGAACTTGTTTTATGAAATGTTCATAATAAGTATTTGGTTTTCTGTTATTTATTTTATTCGTTTTTATATCAGATCCTTGCTGATCCTTGGGCACAACACACAAAACACCAGATTTGCAGAACTCACTTTAATAAATTTGAGCGCGATTTTTGTGTAGAACTGAAGCGTTTGTGTGGCGCTCGGAAGGCTCGTCAAAACTGTTTTGACTTGAATGCAGTCGACGCAAAGGTTTTTATACCAAAAATGCATTCACTGAGCCGCAGCAGCAGCAGCAGCAGCAGCAGCTGCAGCAGCAACTGCAGCAGCGGCAGCGACAGCATCCGCAACGAGAGCAGCGCAGCAGCAATCAGATTGTCAAGAAGAAGAAGAGGCAGCAGCAGCAGCGGCAGCGGCAGCTTGAAGATTAAGAAGCTGTACATTTGACAGCAGCGGACGAGTTGGCAACAGAATCGGAAGAGGCTGCCACTTGTACCACGCGGCGTATGCGCAACGTGTTTGAGAATGCAAATGGGCGTTGCGCATACGCCGTGTATAAGCAGCATAACCATATGACTGAGTGTGTGTGAGTGTGTTATATCAGTTGAGCCGACAGCTAAGCTACATTCTATATATGTGTAGATGTATGTGTCCCTCTGTGTGTGTGTGTGTTTGTGTGTGTTTGTGTGTGTGGCACGCCAGCTTGTCTAGGCTTTAATTTATGTGAATTAGCAATGCGAAGTTCATTTGATTAGCCCACGCTGGCGTTTACCCACACCTCTCTGCCTCTCCCTCTCTCCCTCTCACTCTCTGCGATGTGTGTGATTCAATTTGCGATGCGCCGCAATATGCAATAATTTGTTAATTCAAATATTAATTAAAAGATTAATAGCAAGACTTATGGCATGGATGTTGCAATGGGCTCGTTGAATCTATGAGCATTTGCTTGCATTAAATTCTCGTTTCTTGTTTTCATGCTTATTGACATTTGCAATGCGATTGCCTTGGGGGCGGGGCTTGGCGCACTGTTTGCCCACTTGCTTATGGAACACAATTGAATGCATCATCCAAGACCCAATCATTTGTTTGCCATTGTTTGATTTGCAGCATCTCACAAAACATCTCCAGCAGCAGCAGCAGCAGCGGCAGCAGCGGCAGCAGGAGCAGCAGCAGGAGACGCGGCGGCAGCTGTTGCTAATCACAATTTAGACATTTGAAACGCTTGCGCATGTTGGCCAATTTGCTGACCAACTGTGCCACTCCCCTGCACCAGTTCCCACTGAAAGGTGAACCAAATGATATGCCCACCGCAAAGGGTATGCGGCAAAAGGGGGCGGGGCTGAAGCTTCAGCTGTGCTAAGCTAAGCTAAGCTAAGCCGGCCGGCGCATAAAAATTGCAATTTTCAGCTTTAAACTTTAAACTTTTGCGGCGTGTAGGAAATGTCAGTTGCAATTCATAAAAATTGCAGCAATAGCAGCGGCCACCACGGCAACAGCAACAGCAACAACAACAACAACAAGAGGAGCTGGAGCAACAACAACAACAACAAAGAGTGCGCGCTGATCACGAACATGCCATGATGAACATCGCGCGAGATTAACGCGCCTCCAACAACAACAACAACAATAGCAGCAACTGCAAATGAGAGTGCTCTAGTCGGGTATGCGTGACCATCTGATGCTCTGCAAACATGGCTTGGCCAATCTTTATACTAAACATATATATTTGTATACTTTGCATTTATGAAAATGGAACTTAGCTGGACAAATATTTTATTTTTAAGAATATTATTTAATGTTTATACATTAATATACATATGTATAGTAAAAATTACTACATTTTCTGAATGATTCCCTATATATGAAACCCATATAC